TTGATCCCAAAGTCTCCTCCACAGATTCCATTAACTTAGAATCACATTAAGAGACCCTGATCCAATTCCAACTATGTGTGGCACTTCAATTCACTGTATTTCCATTTTCTAATACATAAAATAAGGATGCTGTTCGAAATCATCTCTCCAACAATTCAATTATATAACTGTAAATTGATGGAATTAAGAGAAACATCTTTGCTCCTTTGTCAAATTCTGCAAAATTATATACCAAAGTCAGGGGAAGATAGTTCTTAGGAGAGAATCTATGACAAAGAGTGGGGAAATAGCATACACAATTTAGCTAGTTTTCCGGGGGGGGGGGTAGGGGGGGAGATACACCTTAGAGAAAATTACTAACATTCTATTTTGCTGTTGGAAAGATTACTATAGAAACTAAACACATTACTCTAATTTTCTTTTTTTTCCCCTTTGGTACCCACATTCTCTGCCAAATCTTAGAAACATGCTTGAACACATTTGGGGATAATATTAAGTGTCACTATAATTATAAACCATCCATACTAGCAAATCACATTAAAATGACATAAATGTGCTTTTTTGAGTCAGAAAATCAGCACTGAATAAAGCATCTTTAAAGATTCTGGATTCACTTTCTTTCCTCCACCTCCTAATTGTTACACCAAATGCCTCAGTTATTAACATATTTCAACAGGTAAAGAAAAATTAAAATAACATATATGGTATTACATTAGTTTGAAATGGTTTGTCAGACACAGTCATATAACATGTATATAATTACTTCCACGTAAAATTATATCATTAAAAGTCAATTAAACCTTGTATACCAATGTTCATAGCAGCATTATTCATTATAGCCAAAAGGTAGAAACAACCCAGATATCAATGGATAAATAAAATATTATATATATAATAAAACAGTACTAATTCATAGACAGGAATGAAATTCTGACATATGCCACTACATGGGTGAACTTTAAAAACATTACCCTAAGTGAAATAAGCCAGACACAAACAGAGAACTATTGTATGATTCCTCTTATATGAGGTACCGAGAATAGGCAAATTCAAAGTGACAGAAAGTACAACAGAGGTTACCAGGAACAGGGATGGGAGAACGGGAATGTGGAGTCATCATTATAATGAGTATAGAGTTTTAGTTTGAAATAATGAAAAAGTTCTTGAAATGGATAGCGGTTATGGTCACACGACACTATGAATATACTTAATACCACTGAATGGTACATAGAAAAATGGTTAAAACAGTGCATTTTAGGTACTTATATTTTACCACACAAAAAATAATTAGAAAAAGTTAATCAATGATACTGGGAACCTAATATAATAGGTACAAGGCAGAGAAAGAAAAACTAAGATTTAAAAGACCAGTTCTTAGTACTCAATGATGTTAAAGACATTTTATTTTACATCAAGCAACATGGCAAACTAATTTGAAATGAACATTTTTCTTTTCCATTACAAAAGCAAAAGAAATTTTGGATAAAACATAGTAAGAATTTGTTTTAATACATGAAAGTGCTGTATGTCTTTTCTCTGGCCTAGCCAGTGGTCGGCAAACTCATTAGTCAACAGAGCCAAATATCAACAGTACAACGATTGAAATTTCTTTTTTTTAAAAATATACTTTATTAATTTTTTTACAGAGAGGAAGGGAGAGAGATAGAGAGTTAAAAACATCGATGAGAGAGAAACATTGATCAGCTGCCTCCTGCACACTCCCCACTGGGGATGTGTCCGCAACCAAGGTACATGCCCCTGATCAGAATCAAACCTGGGACCTTTCAGTCCACAGGCTGACGCTCTATCCACTGAGCCAAACCGGTTTCAGCTGAAATTTCTTTTGAGAGCCAAATTTTTTAAACTTAAACTATATAGGTAGGTACATTGTTATTAATTAGGGTACTCCTAAGGCTTAGGAAGAGCCACACTCAAGGGGCCAAAGAGCTGCATGTGGCTCGCGAGCCACAGTTTGCCGACCACTGGGACCTATTCTCCACCATTTTCCAACCTCCGTGCCTGGGAGTGTAACCCGTATGAATATATATCTGTACTCTGTCCTCTGCTTTCTGGTTGGCTTCAACTAATGAGGGACAGTGGCAGGAGAGCAATGAAAGAGGAGAAAGAAGTCAGGGTATTTATTCCCTGTTCTGATGGACCTCTCCCTCCCTGGCGTTAGCCTAGTGGTAGCAACAACATCCCAGTGTTATTAGATCCAGATACTGTACTACCTCCAGTGGTTTCCCTTCCCAGTCAACACCTACTTCCTTTTATTAAACGCTCTTATTCTGCTGGGTTTAAAAATGCTATCTTTTTCTGACTAATTCAATAGCCAACCTTGAAAGAAGTAAACGCAAATCTCGAAGTATCAGAAATGAAGAGGGAACACTGCGTCATGGTAATGAGGGTAACGAGTGGGAAGTGAGCCCATCGTGGCAAGTGGAAGTGTCAGTTTGGTAAGGGTTTAGGGGTTGCACAATGGCATTCAGGGGCTGGAGACAAGGCTTAGAGACCGAGTTAAGGAGTCCTTTGCCTAGGCCTGGGGCCAAAAAGAGCTGCTTCTTCAGCAAAAGGGATGATCTCTTAAGGCTTCACCAGACTAAAGAAATAGCATAGACGTTTTCTATAATGGGCACCAAAGTGGGAGGGAGCAAGAAAGAAAAACACCAACCTCTCTCTCCTCTCTTACTCCAATCTCCTGTTTGTAACACTCCCCAAAGGATTAGAAATGGCAAAACAAACAAACAAACAAAACTGAGTAAACTGGAATAAAAGGAAATTGAGGAAATGAATAGAAAGAAAATACAGACAGCTAATGAGAGTAGAAGGGACAGGAAAAAAAAGTGGTTCAAAGACTAAAGGGTCTCTGGTTAAATAAGTTTGGAAACTACACCATTCAATAAAGTTTACCTGTTTTCTTTACTGCGGGAGCTTTTGTATTCTATCAATATTAGGAATCTCTAAGAAAGAATTAACTGCTTTTACCCTGGAAGGGATATGGCCCATTGACTTCATATGGGCACATTTCTAGATTCTACACCTATGCTTCATGGGGGAGGAGGAGCTGCAATCCCATTACTTAGGTCTTACATTTCTTAAGATTTGGAATGAGTAGGGATAAAGAAGTTGCTTGCACAGGGGTCAAACAGATCTACTACACACATTTTAAAGCCTCAAAACAACTAAAGAAAAATGCCCTTTTAACTGAGTTTGGTCGTCTTTACAAATTTGTAAGAAAAAATAAATTAACACTTCTTTACTTGACTCTTTTTCCCATTCTGTATTTTGCCAATAGCTTTGTTTCCAGAGGAAATTATACCTTTATACAAAAACAAAAACATAACTTCTATCTCCATCTATTATAGTATTTCTCAGAGATAAAAGTTCAGCCCTCTAGAGGGTGTTTTGAAAAAGTATTAGGGTGTTTTGGGTTGACTCAATGATTGAGTGTCACTACTGGCATTTAAGACTCTCACAGATACTCATGTAGCTGAAAATCCTGTTTATAATATTTGGACATAAAATTGAATTCTGTTTTAAATCTAAACAATATATTTTTTTGCATGTCTGCTTGATTTTATTATACACTAAGAGTTCTAAGGCAACTACTGAAGTGAAAGGAAAACTAAACTTTGAAACTTTACTACGAGTTTGCCACTATTTTCAAAAATCATGCTACAAACAACAATACCATGGTATCTATATATATAAAAGCCCAGCGACTGGAACGGGGAACAAATGGAATGACCGGTGGCCATGACGCACACTGTAGCAGCTAACCTGCCTGATCCGGGCCCCAATCAGCCCCCCACCCCCGGCTAGCCACCACCCCATCTCCCAGCTGGCCCTGCCCCTGATCTGCCCCCAACACCCCGATTGCGGGAAGGTCCGGCCAGCCAACTGCCTGTGGCCCCTCCCCCCCGCCAGCCCAGCTCAATGGGCTCCTTTCAGGGTGGGCCTGCCAACCCTACCTGTGCACGAATTCGTGCCCTTTGCCTATAGTTTAATATATACCTACACAAGTCTATTTGTACAAGTCAGATTCACAGTAATTATACGTATTTGATTATGTTGTTATGTCTTTTAATGTAGTCATGCCAGAGTATTTATATATGAAAATACGCATCATTGTACTTAAGTTACTTTCCTTTTATTCTGTATATTTTACATAAATATTATATATTTTTGAGATTATATGTATATGTAGGTTATTTTTCATTTTCATTTCACGATAGTAAAGGAGGCACAATAAAATATTTGTTACCAAAAGGAACACTCACTGGCATGGTGGGTGAGGTTAGGGTGTTAAAAATGAAAAATAAGGGGCTCCACTGGGTGGCTCAGTTGTTTGGAGCTTCCTCCTGTGCACCAAAAAGGTTCAAAAAGGTCGTGGGTTTAATTTCTGATTAGGGAAGAAGCCTAGATTGTGGTTCCAGTCTCCCGTAGGGGTCCACACTGGAGACAACTGATCAATGTTTCCCTCTCACTCTCTTTCTCTCCCTTCCTCTTTCTCTAAAATCAACAAAAACATATCCTAGAGTGAGGATTAAAGAAAAAAGAAAGACTTTTAAGATGATCCGAAGACAGGAGAGGACTGTGGTTCTGACGAAATTGAAAACCATCAATCTAAAGATAACAATACCACCCTGGTTCAAAAAGGGGTAGAGGACGAGAGGGTACAGGGAGGGGAGCATGAGCCTCTTTTCACTAACCTTCTAAGTTTCCATGCTTCTGAGAAAGCGCAACTTTACTGTGTCTCGGTTTCTACCATTTCACAGCACCCCCACTTCCTGCACTACCTCACTCCCTACTGAAACTGATTAAAATACTTGGACCTAAAAGGAACAGTAAACGCACAGCCACTGCTACCATCTCCTCAGGAGCCTCTGAACCTGCCAGCTTCCACAGAGGTGAGGTCATCTCCATTCTCATTCCTGACAGGGAACTCTGTGCTATATATCACCCTTCATTTGGTAACAGAATTCTTCAGAAACACTTACCTCAGTAGTAGTTCCAATGTCAGCAGATGGGCTGCATGTGCTGGTGTCTGGAGGAGCCGTGCCCACACTGCTTCTCACTGGGGAACTAGGAACAGGCCCAGCCATGGTCTCTGGATAGGCTGAAGCACTGAGGCTGCCTCTCTTCTGAATCTTATTCCACACTTTACGCATAATGTCAGTTAGCTCATACAACAGCTGCACCTGAGCAGAAGAAAAGGGAAAACAGTCTTTCAACTTCCAGGCACAACTGACTTAATGTGAGAAAATTAAAACAAGTCCAGGAAAACAAGAATATATATCAATGTATCACTGATCATGATCTATAATCTATGATAGGCAATTATTATATATTATCATGAATATTTTATCACCACACTATGATTCCAATAAGAGATACAAAGAAAAAATTCAGATATAAAAATTTATAATTTTCAGCATTTTATCATGATTTGAATTTAAAACAGATATGATTTTAGTCACACTTGAAATCTGCCTCATTAGCAATTGGATATTTTATAAGCAATTTAGCATTTTTGTAGAAAAATAATGCTACTATGATAATAATGCTAATATAACAGGTTATTCCAGGACAGATTTCTTTTTACATATGAATAAAGCAAACATAAAGAAATGCCTCTTAACAGAATCAAGTTAGAAATCAAATATATCTTAGTAAGTATGATTATTTGGTGTTTTATGAAATAATTAACATTCTTATTTGATTCCCACATTTAAATCCTATTTCTCAGGGGAATATATCTGAAACTGGACTTCTTGCCCATCAAAATAATGTGGAAAAAAATAATAGAATAGTAAAGGAAAAATGTTAAATATGAGACTTTTCTATAGATAAAGAACATAAACCATCCAACCTACTATTTCCCTAGGATTTGTCATTCCAATATTCACAGAAAAAAAATGTTTTAACTTGCACATTGTTTGACTAAGTTCTAAGATATTTACACAAGATTTCATAAATAAGCATTAATCATGGAATTTGTATGACAACATATTGCCATATACTGTATAAAATAAGCCCAGAGAAAAAATGCCAACACAATATATAAGCAAATCCACAGCTGGATACCATATTCTGCTTGCCATTAAAAAAAAAAAAAAGCAAAATTCTTATATTTATAAAAAGTTTCAGCCCCAGGACACATCCAGATGATAAAGCTGGCTTCTTATGTGGGCAGAACAGATGCATAAAAACACTGTTGTCAATCCTTATTTGATATAAAACAGTACTGGGTTACAGTTTTCTCCTTTTTGTGTGATGAAGTCTCAAATCTCAGGTTATAGCTCTTTTTGTTAAAAAAAAATAATCTAATGGCTAGAGATCTTACAAAAAACCTCTTAAAATTTTAGTTCAAATTCTTTCGTCCTTCATTATCATGAATAAGTTCTCTCTAAAAAGAAACAATCTATGGCAACCCAAATTTTTTAAATGATTATTTTACTTTTCCTTAAACAGTTAGAACTGACAAATAAGGAAAGCATAAGCCAAAGAAAACAGGTTCTAAATATTTCTAAGGGCATAAGGTTTATTTACTTAAGGGATAGATGCTAGTTTATTGTCACTACTTCTGATTGTAACACTTACCATTAAATAATTGTATACGAATGTCACAAAGGATACTGTGTATTTAACATACCAAGCAAACTCTGACACAAACTTTAAACCTATTTTTATTTTCAAAGGAGAGAGTTGCTATCACAGAGCTGAGACTTCCCAAAATCTCTTTAAAATGAGCACCATGAGAGGCAGCAGTATATGGGATGTGTATGAAAATAATTAAATATCAATATCTGGAGTATCAAATAGTAACTCAATATCAAAAATGTAACATTTTGTTTAAAAATTAATTTCACATACAGATTCTCATTTCATCTATGACCAGTCAGAAAGGAGACAACTGGATTAGAGAGGCTGCCATAAGCCTCAAGGAGATCCATTCCTAATGGATAGACAGGATTTAGGTGGGTGCAGAAAGCCATTCCAGTTAAAAGAACAGCAAGAGCAAAAGCCAAGTGCAACAAATGATCATCATATGATGATGTAGGGGCAATGGAAAATCCTATTCTGTTAGGAAGAACTTGTCTTACAGGGTATTAGTAGAGTCTAATAGAAGAGTTGTCAAAAGGTAGAGAGGAAGAAGAAAAACCATGGGTACACAATGTCAATGGAAACCACAGAGGAATGACACTTCAACAAGCAATTACTCATACTTTTTTTAAATCTTTATCGTTGAGGGTATTACAGATGTCCCCCTTTTTTCTCCCAATTGCCCCCCTCCACCCAGTCCCTGACCCATCCCAAGGCTTTCACCACCCTATTGTCTGTGCCCATAGGTCATGCATACATGCATATAAGATCTTTGGTTAATCTCTTCCTGCCTCCCCTCCCCACTTCCCTCGAAGATTTGTCAGTCTGTTCCATGTTTCCATGCCTCTGGTTCAATTTTATTCACCAGTTTATTTTGTTCATTAGACTCTCTTCCACACCTGGATCCCACCCTGCCCCAGGCCTTCACCGACTCTATTGTCTGTGTCCATAGGTAATGCATAAATGCATATAAGTTGTTTGGTTAATCTCTTCCTGCCCCCCCTCCCCGCTTCCCTCTGAGATTTGTCAGTCTGTTCCATGTTTCCATGCCTCTGATTCCATTTTATTCACCAGTTTATTTTGTTCATTAGACTTCTTATTTTGATTTTTAGATTCAATTGTTGATAGATAGGTATTTATTGCCATTTTCTTCTTCCTCCTCTTTCTCTTCTTAAAGAATACTCTTCAACATTTCATGTAAAACTGGTTTGGTAGTGGTGAACTCCTTTAGCTTTTTCTTATCTGGCCAGCTCTTTATCTGATCTTCAATTCTAAACGACAGCTTTGCTGGGTAGAGTAATCTTGTTTGCAGGTCCTAGCTACTCATCACTTTGAAAATTTCTTGCCACTCCCTGTGGCCTGCAAAGTTTCTGTTGAAAAATCAGCTCACAGTCATATGGGCACTCCCTTGTAGGTAAGTGCTTTTCTCTTGCTGCTTTTAAGATTCTCTTTGTCTTTAACCCTTAGCATTTTAATTATTATGTGTCTTGGTGTGGGCCTCTTTGGGTTCATCTTGTATGGGACTCTCTGTGCTTCCTGGACTTATAAGTCTATTTCTTCTATCAGGTAGGGAAATTTTTCTGTCATTATTTCTTCAAATATGTTTTCAATATCTCACTCTCTCTCTTCTCCTTCTGTCACCCCAATAATAAGAATATTCGTATGCTTGATGTTATCCCAGAGGCTTCTTACACTATTTTCATATTTTTTGCATTGTTTTTTATTTTGCACTTATGATTGGATGTTTTTACTTCCTCATATTTCATATCAATTTGATTCTCAGAATCCTTTACTCTATTCTTGAATCCCTGTAAATTATTCTTTATTTCAATTCCTGACTGGTCCTTTTTCATGTCTTGAAATTCTAAGATCCTTATAAGTCTCACTAAGTCCCTTGAAGCTCTCATTAAGCTCCTTGAGCAACCTTATAACCATTATTTTGAACTCTATAGCTTGCTTGATTCCATTTCTTTCCTTTTCGATATGTTTCTTTGTCTCTGCATTTTGGTTGCTTCCCTGTATGTGTTTCTATGTATTAGGTAGAGCTGCTATGTTTGCTGGAATTAGTAGAGTGGCCTTGTGTAGTAGGTGTCCTGTAGAACCCAGTGGAATGAAATTTCAATAAGCAATTACTGATATGTTTTGAATAGTGCAGAGAGCTCTAAGTGAATATGAATTGAGAAAGACTATTTCATTTGGCATGCAGGTTGTTACTAATCATAAAACCTCAGCGTTAAGGTGGTGGTGGGTAGGAAGAGATCAAACAAAGAACTTGCATGCATAAACAACAGATACATAAAGTAGTGTGGTGAAGGCCTGGAGTGGGGGTGGGCTAGAAGGGGTCAATGGGGGAAAAGGAGGACATATGTAATATTTTCAACAATAAATATTTTTTAAAATAATTTTTTTAGAAACTTAGTTTTGAAAGAAAAAATTTTTACCAAAAAAATACCTTTTTCATATAGAGCATTAAACTTACATATTATAGTTTCCCGTATCGAATTTCCTTTAAAATATAAAAATGAAAATCGGGGGATCAGAGAAATCACAAATGAGTAAGTGGTACAAGAATACAAATCCAGGTTTGTCTGAACTCATGAGTGTGCTCTTAGACAGTAATGCTTAATTCCATTATTCTGATGAAAACTGAACATAGATTAAAGCAGTAAGGCTATGAGTAAATGGACAGGAAAGAAGAATAAAACCTATTCTTTCTCTAGTTCCACATACTTTTAAATCCAAAAATGCAAAGATAGTTTTGTTCCTAGGAATGCTATATAGGAAGAGAAAATAATAGCAATTTATTGGCAGAGGGAAAATTGAAATTATAGAGATTTCCATAGGCTTATTTAATTTTGGGATGAACACAAATTTTAAGGTCTGAGAGACTAGTGTCTAAAAAGATTGAAGGGAATTGTATAAGTTTGTAAAACAGTTAAGATGAAGGGACTACTTGACAGAAATCATCCCGGGGGGGCGGGGGGGGGAATCTGATTAATCAACAAAGTTATATATTTTCTGTGTCCAAGGCTCCTGAATGGCAATGAGTTCCAGGAACTGACACAGTAGTTTAGGTCTCTATAGTTGATATAAAGAACTACAACAATGTCTGATATAACAATGAATTTTCTCTGGGCCTTCCCTATGTATACAACCAACACTACTTTTTTAAGTATATAAATTACTTGAGGCCTCTGTGTCTTGGCAATAATGAACCAAATTAATTAATGTATAAGGGTCAACGCGATGTCACTCTAATGGATAAATAAAAGAATAATATGTATTTAAGTAGGAATTATTTCTCGAAAATGGAATCAAGAAGCTTATCCACTGACTACAATCAAAAGTCCACAAAGCTTCTGATAATATATGCAAATGCTACTGTAAGGTATTTACATTGTTCTGGGGGAAAAGCTCATAGCTTTTATCAGATTTTCAAAGAAGTCCAGAGCACACAAAAAAAGACAAGTACTGTTCTTCACAAAAAAAACAAAAAACAAAAGCAGATGAATTTATAAGCAACCATTCATGAGAAAAGTTTGAGTCATTAATCTTAAAAGAAAAAAACAGAAACATAAGAAAAATTTTAGGATCC